ATTCGGTTGACAACGTGGGAAAGTCTTGGCGGTGTTTCTGGAAGGGTTCCTCAGTTCGTGAAGCCAAACTGCAAGTCGGAGTAAGATACATGGATAGCTGCATATTTCTGACGACGTCATTCATCTAACCGGACTACGTTGCATATCCGACTGGCAATGAAGCCGCGATCCCATGTTCATGACAACTCTCACCCAAGCTTCCCACTGCGCCCCTGGACTCAAAGATCGTTTATGAATGGTCTCATAGTCTTGGATATCCGAAATTGCGTGCCTTGAAAGTTTCTCGCAATCGTCCCAGCCCACAGCAACCCCGCACGCTAGGCCCCTCGGCACAGCAGGGCTTCCCAAGCCATGGCGTCGCACCAACCCGACCGCGAGGACATGGCACCTTTTCTGCTGCGCGTCTTCTACAGACACGGCGCCTTCCACAGGCAAGCCCCTCCACAATGGTTCGACGGAGGATTGCCACTGACCGATTCTCCAGACCAGACGAGTTCGCCACTCGCGCCCTCCCGCCGTCTCTCGATCTCTACACCTGGCCCAGTTGCACCCTCGACGAGCTGGCGCATCAGCTTGCCGCCGAACGCCCCGCCCTTCTCCCAGACCCGGCGGTCGGAACACGACTCGCCTTTCGCCTGATCTTCCCCGACGCGCGCAGCATGGATAACGCCAGCCACACAGCTCCACGCTTCATGGTGAAGGACCTCGGCAGCGTCGTCATTGGCGATGGCGGGCCGGGCTTGGACGTGGCTGCTGCAGACGATGCTACGGACGAAGCGGACAGGGTCTGGCCTGTGCGGCAGCGAGGCGGGATCAAGGATGGCTTGCAGACGCTGGAGGGCTCAAAGTTTGTCGTCGGTGATTACGTCTCGTGCGCTATTCTGCCACCGCTACCAGATGGTGCCGTGGCGCCGGAGCCGACCCGTCATATTCGCGCAGGACCCTCGGGCGGTCCTCCGACGCATCACGGACGGCGTGACCTGGGGGCCGGTCGGGGCAGAGATTGGGGGGCGGGCGGGTTCCCTCACGGCGTCCCTCACGGCGAATGGAGGCGCGGTGAGGCCCTGCCAGACGGACCTGACCGCGGCGCCTGGGGCAGGGGGAGGAATGCGGGCAGAGGCGGCCGCTGAGGCTGCTTTGGAGGAACACGCGGACGGACAACAGGGCTCTCAATTGGCGTTTGGGTCGGAGGACGGCGCGCGATACCCCATTTACCATTTTCACGTTGGCCCGCATGGGCGACGACGGGCTCGATTTGCACGTCACAGCAAAGCAACGTGCACCATTTGTGGAAGAGTGGATTGTAACGAGAAAATTGTTTTGTCATGGCACCGCACTGGATTGCCGCTCTGCTTATCCCTCTGATATTTACAACCCTTCCCCATCGCTCCGTTCGTTCTCTACCGCTCAGCGAGGAGGTCGCCCTTGCGCTTCGCACGCATCTCCCAGAGTCCCTAGTCACACAGTCAGTCTCCGAGTGCACCAATTGGCAGCGCTGCGAGCACTCACGTCCGTCTTGTAACCGATGAACCCAATGATGACGGGCACGACAACGGCATACATGAAGGTGACGCGCGCCGTCCTCTTGGTCCAGCGAAAGTAGAGGTGACGCTGCGACTGCATGTCTGTCAATTGGCGTTAGTTTCTTCTCTGTCTCGACATTATTCTCGGTCGCTTTCGAACGTACTCCCGAGCTTGATGATGGCCGGGTCCATCGCCATTTCTGGAGGAAGGAATGTTAGCCTTTGTCGACGGAGTAGGTCTCGTCTTGTCGCTCACTGTTGTGGGGTACGCCGCCTGCCATTGTGTCGACGAGTGAGCCGCGCTCGGAGGAGGTGGATTGGTGATTTGGGTGTCGTTCGACGTTCAGTGGGGGGTCAATCACGATCTCGTCGTCAGATTGAAGCAGTCTCGAATGCTTGATGCATTGGACTGATGTTAGGATAGGCTCCTTACGTAAGATTTAGGCCTGGGAAACAAGGCCAAATTATCGTACAGTCTTCTTAGCACGGTATTTAGCCTTGCTACGGCGAGGGAGCCGCTCAGTTATCACACAATAGCTCATATGTTCAAGCGTGACTCAGCAGCAACTAGCGCTCAATCGTACAGTGCGCAAGCTTCCTTGGCCCCATCGAATACTTGCAGAATCTCCAAACAACCTGTGATTGATGACGGCTTCAAATACGCCACCATGATGACGGTGACGGTAAGTCCAAGCTTGCAGGCAACTGTAAGCACGGCACAAGTCACAAGGCATAATCAGTTCACGATGCATCTTGTTGAATGACAGGCGAACCCTCAGCAACCTCTAGAGTTGTCGATCAACATTCGCGCCGAGGCACATGTCAAGGGTGGGGCTGAATGAAGGCTTAAGTGCCGATGAAGCTCCAACCTTGCCCGGATAGATTGCGCGCCGGGGCTAGGAGGCGATGCCACATCAGAAGGGGTGATCTCACCTTGTTTAAGGAAGACTGCGTCCGCAGTCTCCTTCGTACATGTTTTGGAATCGACATACAGTAACGGCTTTCTTCAAACACAAACGACCATAGCAAACAGAGACGTCATGGCTGAAGCACAGGATGCCCATGTAAAGCTCTACTGGTACGCCGTTCGCCACCACGTGCTGTGCTTCTGATCTAACATCTTTTCAGGCTGAACAAGTCCCGCGCTCAAAACATTTTATGGCTCCTCGAGGAACTAAACGTCAAGTACGACGTCGAGCTGTTCCATCGTAGCAGGGAGACAATGCTGGCACCGCCTGAGCTGACCAAGGTCCACCCGCTCGGCAAGTCGCCTGTCATCGAGATCACCCCGCCTGGCTCCACGGACTCGGTCAAGCTGGCAGAGAGCGGCTTCATCGCGCAGTATCTCTGCGACCACTTCCCCGAGGGCCAGCGCCTCGTCCCGCAGAAGTGGAAGGAAGGCAGGGAGGACCAGATCGCTGGAGAGACGGAGGCCTGGATGCGGTACCAGTATCTGCTGCACTATGTCGAGGGCAGCCTGATGCCCATCCTCGTCATGACGCTGATCATCTCATGTGAGACCCATTCGGAGGACTGAACAGGCAAGCATATGCAGTGTGACTGACTTGCTACAGCGCTCAAATCCCCAAATGTGCCCTTCTACGTCCGTCCCATCACGACGGCCGCCGCCAACAAGGTCATCGCCATGGCTGTCTTCCCCAACGCCAAGAAGCACCTTGCCATGATTGAGCAGCTGCTTGAGACGGCGCCTGATGGAGGCAGTTATATCTGCGGTAAGACGCTGTCCGCGGCCGACATACTGCTTAGCTTTGCCCTCATCGCGGGCGAGCATCGTTTTGATGCCATGGGTGAGTGGCCCGGTGGCTCGGCCAAGGCGGCGCATCCCAAGGTCTTTGAGTACATCCAGCGCCTCAAGCAGGAGCCTGGTTACAAGCGCTCGACGGACAAGATTCGAGAGCTCGATGGAGAGTTTGAGGAGCCGGCGGCTTTGAAGAAGTAAGGCCTCTTCTCATTTGTCCATTGTTACAGATGCTTAGATGAGATCAGGCGTGAATCCCGCATCTGAGTTTAAAATGATGCCTCTATTTGAAATGGCTGAATAAAAAAGAGGGAAACATAGGAACGCGCGATATGCAATAGATTACAATCTGATGAACAACCAATCTGAGCTTTCGTAATCTCGCCGTATTTGTGAGGACGAGTAGATGCCTTTTGCTCCCTGTGTTTTGCACGCCACCTGGTGGCAGCTGTCAATACGATGGATCCCAGTCTGGCAGCTTCAACCGACGTCAATTCTACAGGTGCGATTTGACGATCCAAACCCAGCAAAATCCTCCAACTCGTCGTGTTGTCTGCTCTGCGCCACAAGATGCAATGTTTGCCGCGAGGACGATATGCACAACCTGCCGATCGAGGCTCCTCGCCGAGACGGTAGCAAAGGGCGCCTCCGTCCGCCACCAGTCGACGGTTCCTGCAGCTTCAACGTTCCGTAACTTGACAGAAACCACCCGATCAAACCACGATGCGACAGTACGACACAAGCCCGTTCCGACACATAAACCAAGCTCTGCCACATCCGAACGCATACCCCGAGGCTCAAATGATGGCAATGCAAAGAGGCGAGCCCTCGACCTGTTCGAGAGCACGATCAACAGCGCCCGACGATCCGAGTCCCAGGCAGAAGCAGACACGCAGAAGCTTCACCAGATAGCTCGGAACATCGACGCCATCCTGCACAACGCGAGGGAGAATCCGGAAGAACCCTATGCTGCAGCGTTGTACGCATGTGTCGTTGACGATATTCTTCCCCTTCTGCGCCAATCCGATAGCGGCCTATTGCCGCAGTTTGCCTACAGCAAGGCGACCGAGGCGTTACGGGCGGTTCTCGAAGCCAAGGTCAACGCATGCGATGACCCGACCCTGCCCAGGGCCTCAGAACTTTGTGGCACGTTGGCAGAGATTGGAATGAAGACACCGGGCCGCCTCGATCCCTTCCTCGGGCTTTTGAACTGGCTCATCGCCAAAACACCAGCTGAGGCCAACGCGGCTGGCAGCCCTTCGGTTGATGCTCATTTCGACCAGCACCTTTTAGAAGACTTGCTAGGGTGCTGGAAGGGACTGTCTCTTTCGAGGCATGCCTACAAGGCTCGCGGCCTTGACACACGACGCCCAACACCACGAAATCCACGAAACATAAGCGACCCGCTCTACAACTGCCACGTCGAGTTCCCGTTGCTCGTCTCTCTAGATCCCAAGAAGCTGGTCGTGGTCCTCGCCACCACATTCGTCCTACTGTCGGACCCCAGGGCGCAACCCGCCGCGTCTACAGAGGCCCTTGAGGCAGTGAAGAAGGAATTGAAAGTTTTTGTCCAGCCTTTCGACGCAGTCCGGCTCGAGTCGCATTTCACGGCACACCCGGCGTTATGGGAATACGTCGCACCACGCATTGACTGGGCGCCATTGCAAGCGCGCATTCAGAGCAAGCCAAAGCAGCCGATCGAGTTTCACTCGCCGACCAAGACGGCACATGCCAACGTCAAGGTGCCAACCAAACGCATCTCGTATTCAGCCTGGCACAAGCGCTTGAGTACACTTTTCAAACTCAACGATGCCAACGGATTGCGAGAGGCCTGGGAGGAACTCACAAATCCTGTCAACGATACTGACAGGGCCGACAAGCTGAGGCAGTGCCCCGAGTTGTTCGACTACGTGCTCAACCAGTGCTGCAGCAAGCACGGTTCTGGCGGAGACAAGTTCTGGGAGTCATTTACGAACCAGACAATGGAGTACATGGACACCATTGGTTTAGTGCCGACCATCAGGACATATACCTCCATGATGGAAGGCTGGAAGATTGCCAAGAGGCTTCGATCAGTCCAACTATTGTGGAACCAGGTCGTTGAGTCTGGCATGGAGCTCGATCACCACATTTGGTCGAGCAGGATCTCTGCTAACGGCGCTTTGGGCAATCCCAACGCTGGCATGAAGGTGTTGACAGAGATGCAAGCTATTTGGGAGGAGTCGGTGGCCAACGGTACTCAACACAAGGCTGTGAAGCCAGACATTAGCAGCGTCAATGCTGCCATCTCAGGTTTCCTTCGAAATGACCGTATGAGCTCTGTCCAGGACGTCCTCGCGTGGGCCAACACTCAGAGGATTGAGCCTGACATATTCACCTACAACAAGCTTCTCGGCTACATGCTCAAGAAGGGTCGCATGGAGGAGGCTGACAACATCCTCTCGAGCATGAAGACCTCGGGCATCAACCCGGACAGTGCCACCTTTACGATTATTCTCGAGACGGCGCTCGCCGAGATGTCTATGCAGGACCCCGATGTCCAGCGCGTCACTGTTCGACGCGTCTTCGCCGAGATGGCCACTTGCGGTCTCGAACCGAACCAGCAGACATACGCCAAGATGCTACACCTTCTTGTCCGTTCTGGCGACGGCGCCAAGGTCCCCATCGAAGCCGTTCTGTCGCATCTCCGTGCCTCGGGCCTGCAGCCATCGCCGCAAATCTGTACCATCCTCTTCGAGTACTACTTCTCCCGCCGGCCCCGCGACTGGGACGCCATCCGCGCCCTCATCACAGACCGCCGCTCGCGCACGCGCGTGCTGACGGACCGCATCTTCTGGGAGACGGTCATGCGCCACTTCCACACCGCCGGCGAGGTTCGCGCCGCCCTCGAAATCTTCTACGACATGGACGACTGGGGCATCTGGCCCTCGCTGTCGGTCCTCGAGCCCATCCTGCGCTCGCTGACGGCGGCGCGCGAGTGGGAGGAGGCCCAGAAGCTCGTGACCACGGTCAGGAAGCAAGCGCGGCCGCTCTCTGCGGACCCAGATGGGCGCTATCATAAGCAGGCCTTTTGGTTTGTGGCTCGGGACTGCGGCTTGATGCAGGAGGAGGCGTGATAAGACGGTTGTATCTGTAGAATAGTGTATGGAAATCCAATGTATAATTCGGTGTCAACCGGGTCAGTCGCGTTGTAAAGGTGTAGTCTCCGATGCGTTCATGACGCATGGCCTAGTCATCTGGTGGCTAGAGGTGTATGCACTCAAACCGAGCTGAGATGCGGCAGCGTCCTGTTCTCCTAAGTCACTCCCTACAGCCATCAGCCTGGCGATGAGAGTGTCACAGCATAGTAAGAGGAGCAACCGGGGAGTGACAACTGTGGCAACTATGCAGCTTCTGAATATTTTCACTGCATTCCGAGGGACGGAGTATGTTTCTTTTGCTTGTTGCGATTATTCTGTATTGCTACCCGCACCCTCGTTCATTTATTTGACGCCTGAAGAAAGGCACATGATTCCGGGCAGCAACTTTGTACTTCTAGCCTACTCCCAAAGATCGGGATCTCGAATTGCTACGGTATGGGACTCAAAATTTCAAAACCACATCAAGCACTGTTTCTTTTTGTCTGTAGGCGTATACATGCCTTTTTACTTGACTACGTTGCCTTACTTCCTTCGAACAGAAGGGCGTGAGGATACACACTGAGACTGGTCGATGGGAAGAGGGAGAAAGGCCGGAGAATACTGCAGCCAACCAACCACCATACAACAGCATTATGCGGCCAGAAATGCGGCCCAGCGCCACCGTTGAACAAAAAGAAAACGCTGATCAGTGATAATCGCGACACCAAAATGTGAAGATGATTGCCAAAAATCTATTGCATTGATTCTTTCATGTATCGATACCTTTGCCAAAGGAGGCGCATCCACCCCAACAACAAACAGCTTCGAAGCAGCCACAATGTGCAAACAATCAATCAAAGCGCAGGCCGCCACTTTTCTCTGCCCCTTCCGTCTCCTTACTTAAAGATGCCTTCTGGCATCCTCGAGCGGTTCGAGAAGTCGTCCGGTAGCTCAGTCCGTCCCTCTTGTGTTTCTTCCCATCTTTCTGGTGAAACCACAATGATTACACTCCTTCCTTCGCACTTCGTTCTTGAGGAGGTGACCGGCTATGACTTGGCCATTGCATCGCTCGCCTGGGGCTTCACGCTCGGCATTGGCTGGTTGACGACATGGACGGCCATGAAACAAACTACACAAGTCTACAGACGTCACGGCCTTGGCATATTCTACAATGCGTATGTCTGGATGATTTGGGGCGACATTTTCGTCTGCCTTGCCTTCGGTATCATTTGTTTTATGTATTTGCTGGCTGTTATACAACCAAGGTGAGTTTCCGGATCCGACTTCTCTACCCCGGCCATCACTAAGACCTCCACTCGTATAGTTTCGCCTTCTATTTCTGCATTCGTACGCTCCCCTCCGTTCCTCATTATTATGGTTATTTAGAGACTGAATCTTTATCACGCCAGTCACCACTTGGGCTCTTCAAGTCAGTCTAAATTTAGATCCTTGTTCCGTGCCGCTCCCTCCCTCTAACTCATGCACTAGGTCCAGTTTCTTCTTCAGATTATCATCAACAGATGCTCGATCCTTCTGACCGACAAAGCCCACGCGTGGCGCATCAAGGTCGGCGTCGCCACCCTCATTACAGCTATTAATATTTCCGTATATTGCATCTGGATTCCTGCACGTCTATAGATTTCGGAGCGATACATTGAAATCAACGAGTGGTGGGATCGTTGCGAGAAAATCTTGTATCTCATCGTCGACGCGGCGCTCAACGTTTACTTCATGATAATCGTCCAACGGATTCTTGTTGAACATGGTCTCCGCAAATACCGGAACTTGGTCAAGTTTAACATGTTCATCATTGGGTTCTCATTGAGCATGGACGTACTCATTATCTGCATGATGAGCCTGAAGAATACCTTCGTGTAAGTCGTCTCAGATCGCAACCCGGGGGGACCGTTCTGACCAACCGGGGGATCCGCGCTTCTAGATACATGCAGTTTCACCCGCTCGCTTATATTGTCAAGCTCAACATTGAAATGTCGATGGCTGAGCTTATTGCCAAGATTGCGAAGAGCAAGGACAACCAAGGCCCGTCTGAAGGATATTCTCATTCTCGGTCCCACGGTACTCAAAGAAACCGTACGGTTAACGGTCCTACTTGGGTGGAAGCTGGAAGGGATGGGAAAGGCAGTGCTTGGGGGACCGTCACAACAACCCTGGAGATGCACACCACGAAGGCACCGGCTGGGGGCGACCAGGTGAAGGCGGCGTTTAACCATGGCGATATCGATCGTCTGACTAATGCGGCCACTCCTTACATCGGTTATTTTGGGACCAGTCAGGGAGATTCTCAGGGGGGGTCATACAGGGGCGGCAGCGGCTCGCTGAGCAGTCTTGATTCGACCAACGTGGGGGCAGTGGCTGAAAGGAACGAGAGTGAAAGGGGTGGGGAATTACCATAGGGTGAGGCTCATGTCCTCAAAGCTGCTGTCTGCGGGCGCATTGACTCCGGTGAAGAAGCCAATACCGCACCTGCAGGACTTTTGTCGATAGACCTCTATCTGCCTCAACCGGCACACTCGCTACGTCCTGTCGCTGGATCTAGCCAGCAGTGAGAAGTCCGAACGATGGAGCTCTTGTTCTGTTCTAAGCCGCCGGTATGGCGGCATTGCACCCTCGCTTGGGACGCAGCCCGGCTCTACTTCTTTGGGCAACTTCAGTGGCACGGGCATTCACCTAGTGTTACGGGGTCCGGTACTGTGACGGGACAAGCGTACGAACGAGGTCGAGTGCCACTTGGGTAGAATGATTGTTTACGAGAAGAGAAAGAGATTCTTAAGGAAAACTCTGACTTGGGCTATTCACACAATTTTCATAAAGTGAGACTTACGTTAATGTACCCTACGGGCGAGTGGGCGACCCATTAGGGATTCCCCAACCCTCCATCTTCAAACGCATTTTCTCCACGAAAGATAATGGGCAATCTTTCCAGAAGACAACAAAGGGTATTGATGAAGCACACAACAGCCCATGACGCGTGTGCATCGCCTGCGATGCTACATGAGGCTCTCTACTGTTCGCTGTCTGCTGTCATGAATTGCGTATTCCAATACGGTTGCCCGTCTCGGAGGGGAGCCGATTTGATATTTGTCACCTGCCATGTAACCGGCCAGTGAGTAAGTTATGACAGCCATCGTCATCTCCAACGACTTCACACCTTAATCTTCCAAAAACGATCAGTTTAGAAAAGTGCTTGTATCTGCGGCCCAAATCACTTCCACTGTGGTTTTCTCCTTGGTCCTGGTCTCTCCACTCACCAAGTCAGTTAATCTGTATTGTGTGGTAGTTGTTGTCGATTGCGCAACCCTAATTGTGTTGTTGGATGCTAGATAGGCCTACTGCTGCAGATGGTAAAGGTCTGCCTGATATACTCGAATAGGCCCGGTGGTGTCCTCTCGTGGATAGTGCTAGTCAACCATCGCTTGCAATAATCGCGCGGGTCACTCACACGAATACATGCGCAATCAACCAGACGTAGTTCCTCCGGTACTTCCACCAGAGCCAGCAGGTCCCTACGACGCCTAGTCCACAAAGAACGCCGGCGAGAGGTAGGAGCTCGCCCCTCCTCCGTCCGTTTCTACTACCTTCTCTAATAACAAGCAGAAAGCACACAAACCTCCGACCCTTCTCCTGTCGGAGCACCTAGTGAGATCGATTAGTCATAAGGTAACGGGTTTCCGTTTTAAGCAGAGAAGAGAGCGTCGCCCGGGGAGGACCATGATGGATAGCGACAGGCAGCTAGCGACAGAGTCCAGATCCGAGGGCCTCGAAGAAGTTAGCGAGGAAACTACTCCGAACTTATCCAATAGCGAGGGGGCAGACGAACAATTATAGTGCCGGTGCCTCTCCGCCGATGCCAGATCTGAGGACTACGTACTTGCGGCCCAGGGGGGAAAGCGGGCACCAAGCTGAGGGACACGTCCATGTCCTTCGGGCTAGATAGGATGCGAGAAGTAGCTTGAATTCCTGGTAGCAGGATCACCTCTGTTCCCATTATTGTGACCAACGCCAGCAAGTGTCGGTCCCGAATGTCTAGCTCCGACCACTCGCCGTTGTTCTTTGTCGACCAGTCATCACAGGGACCTGCTGACTCTGGTGGAAGTAGCGGAGGAACTACGTCTAGCTGATTGCGTTGCATATATTCATGTCGGCATATATTCACCTCGGCATTATAGGCGAGACCGCGTCTGCGTTAGTCTACGAAGCTCGGATGGGGTTGGCCGGAGATTTTGCATAGTTGACCTGTCGCCACTTGGTCGGTTGCATGGAGGCTTGCAGGCGAGGAGAGCGCGACTGGTCATGGATGCAGGGTACCTGACCGACGGAGAGCTCGGGCGGCACGGGGGTCGGACTGTTGCATCTCGTATGCGCATGTTTTCATCTGATCGTGGCATCGTCGTGTGATTGCTAATTCTGGCCGGGAGGCATTGATCCATGAACCTGTCCCTCAGCTTGGGTACCCGCGTTGCTCCCTAGCCAGTAAACTTGTAATTCTCAGGTCGGCACTGCCGGAAACGCACGGACAACTCGACAACCCGACGATCCGTCTGTGCTCTCGTTGATGGGCAAGCATGGACCAGAGACCCCATTAATATCCTCGTGGCTACGGATTTGGACCCCGTTACCAGCTGCCCCGATTTGCCCCTTTTGCTATTTTGCGAAGTACGCCCTCGCTTCTGTTCGAATAGAATCCCGTGACCTTGTGCCCGATCGCCCTGCTCTGTTCCCTTGACATGTAAAGATTCGGTGGCGCGTGCGCTTTCTGTTAGTGATTAGACGGGGCGTACCAGAGGTCGACAGCGGCGAGTTTTCCTCGGCTTCGGTGTCTTGGCGCCAGGCTAGGTCAGTCGACTCATACTTAACAAAGCCCTCGTTGTCGGCGAAGGAGACGTAAAGGGCGAGCTCTTTTCCTATTCCGCAGTATCAATTTCTATTTTGATAGAGTAGTACATATATATCAGAGGTTATTTATTATAAGTTAGATCCGGATCCTAATCACGGAGTTAGTAATAGAAGTCGGGTAGGTGCGATGGCAGGTTGGTGTCTTTTGGGAGTTAGTTGGCTAGTAACTGTGTTATTAGCAGCGATCGAAGGGCTCGGTGAGGACCCAAACAGGCTATCAGAGTCGGCAGGTATTCCGAATACCATACCAGTATTATATAAAGGGGGCCGACTTTCAGCGGCGTCGATATTCGGGGTCAGGGTGGCAATACGGTGGCGAGCCATGGTCGGATGGGGATGATGCCGGTGGTGAGACCTGTGGAAACGGAGTCCCACCGAGATAAGCCAACCTTCTTCATGAGAGTGCGAGCGTCGAGCCACGGAGGCCCCATAACTCGGCCCTGGCGACAAGTCGGATCAACTCCGTTGGCAGCTATGTGCGGACCTGAAATAACCACTGAACTGACTGGAGAGTGCTCTTCAGCCATTCAACTCGTGATAATTCATGATAGTTATATGCCTGTGTTTCTTCGTCTTGGTTCCAGATCCTGACAGGTCACCCTCAAATGGTGACATCGGTCCATGTTTGCCTTTTCAGCTTTCACGGCCCCTCGATCAGACAGCGTCCTTCCTATTGTGGCTGTTCGATTGCCTTCCCTATACCATCCGTCAATGTCCGCCGCCATTTTTTCCAGTCGCCGCTTCTTCTTATCGATATTATAGCACAGCGGGCACTTGTCTGGCTCGATAATTGTGATGAAAACAAGGTCACAGCCTTCCACTCAATCACCACAAACCTGGCTCCCATAAGCGCTAGGGCTTCTTCCATTATAGGAAGGGGACTTACTCATATGATAACCCACGACATGAATCAGCCAAATAGCAGCCTTACACATTGTCAAAATGGATTGCAGCCCAACTAAATCTGATGAAGTCATCCGGCCCAGTCCCCGAAAAGACCACCCGCAGTGAGATGACGAGTGAATTCGTAACACGAGGGTCACCTTGGATGTTGATATCACGGACCCTCATATTTTGGTGTTGCAAACCCGGATCAAAAGTTTGAGCATACCGCTGGGTCTCGCCATCGAAGACCAGGATACGCGTAACTCTTGCACCACTACCAGTTACAAAACGAACCTGGGCTTCCATTGACTTCATGTTATCGCCATCCATTATGAATGGTGTGGGGATAACGAAGTGCACGAAGTCCGCTAGGTTGGCGGCGGTCGGTCTGATTGTACTGGTTTGGGATTGCCGAAAAGCCGACCAGGAAGCTCTCTCGAGCACGGCGCTGGTCCCGGAAATTCGGGAAACGAATTTTGCAGCCATAGTAGATATGTAAAGGAAAGGAAACGAGCTTGATGTTGGATGCAGTCTTTCGATATTATTCAAGTTCAAGTCCTAGGTTCTGTTCCAAGGTTATATAAACTATGGCAGTACTAAAATTAGACTTATTCCGTTCATAAGATATATCGACATGTGATAGTGATGCAATAAAGACGCCATAAAAAAACTCTATCTCTTCCTAGGTAGAAGCTCGTAACAATTACATGTGAATCTCTAGTCAAGGTAGGCTCGTGTCCTCAGATGTGCTGTTTGATCGGGCTGATCCCCTGCGCTGCTTGCAACTCTACAGATATGGATCTCCCATTGATGTTCTCGCACGAAGCTCTCGGATAAGTAGAGGATAATTGAGCCTTGGAAATAAGGCAGTGATGCGTTTGCTTGGGGCAGGAAGGCTTGAGGTTGCCACCCGAGAATGTTGTTGCAAATGGAGGGGGAAAGAGATTCCTGTGAGGGACTGCCACTAACTTTTACGGGACTTGGATGTGGAACCAAGGGTGTGTCTTAGTCTCGGGGAAGAAGGACATGTCTGTCGGCTGGCCCATCTCTAGTCCGAATGAGAAGCCGAGTATCATCTTAACAAATGGCCGGAGGCAGATGACCTGGACCGGACCGAAGGTGGCTTTCCCATGTCTTTTTGGCAACTCGAATCTGACATCAGAAACAGCTGAAGGGGGTCGGACCGGAGACCCATGCCGATGCGCGACGGTAAAGCCAAGGTGGCCCTGAGGGTGAACCGCCAGCAGACACATCGGTGGCACCCAACCTGACGGAGGGGTAGCAGAGACGGGCTAGTCATCTGCACTAAAGCAAAAGCAACTTCCAGAGGCATCGTCATAGGGTTAGTTTTAAGAATGACTACACTATACCGTCATTTTCACATGTTGGCGCCGATTCTTGTATCGAAGCCTTATATGTGTTGCCGATCAGGCAAGGTTCTGTTCTGTGACTCAGGAGTACTTTCATCCCAAACGTGGAGTCCTCATTTGATGCATCTCAGGCCACTGAATCCAGAGAGCGCCTGCACCGACGGGAAAGTTTCCGTCCACGTAGCGACTATCCCGTGTCTCGCGAACAATTTTGACTCTGAATATGTCGTTTGTGCCAAGAACGCCGAGAATGGCGTGATGATCGCGCTTGCTGGGAGCATTGCTGGGCTTCTAGTACCCGACAATAATTCTTGTAGGCCGAGTGCCCCATAGCGCCTCAAATACAGGCACGGGGGAGAATTCCTCGTTCGACTCAGTTTAGCCCATAAGACTGCGTCGGAGACCTCCCGAGGTATGCATTGGAGGCGGCTCCTGGGCTGGAGGACAACCCGCGTGTGGCTGCCGTTCAGGGGGCAATTACGTAGCTATAACGGGTCCTCCACCGTTGATGGTGCAAACGCCACTTTGGTGGTTGGGGCCTAGCTTGCGACGCTTTGCAATCTCAAGGTGGATGCAAATCACGGTATCTTCAGGGATCGTAAGCCCATGAGCCATAGCCGGCATAGCAGCGGTCTCCGGGGCCGGTTTGCTTTCCAAGCGGCGTCGTGCCTCGGCAACGGCTAGCATGTCGTTCTGCCGCTTGATTCTAGGGGATTCTCCCTTAATGCTAACCCTCTGCTTCACAAACTCCTTGATGTGGTAATGGTTTAGACCGATAAGCTAGGGCTCGAAAACTACACGCTTAAAGGCCAAGTAGCTTCCGCTAGGCCCTGGGGGCAAGTGGTACTTCTTGGTGTTAATAGGTCGGCGTATGCGGTTGATATTAGCGATTCTCATCCGTAGTCGTCCGCGTATATTAATGAAGCTAATTACTGAGTGCTTTTCGGCCTCATCAGGATGCTGAGAGTCATGCTAGTATTCTAGGACAACTGTCGTAGAATCAGCTCCTATAAGGCGGCGGACGGGATTAGAAAGAGTGATGGGCATGTCGAGGGGTACGCTACCTTCTTCCTCATCACCTAGAGGAATGTTCGGCGTGGCGAGCTGTCTCTTGTGCTGAGAATCAGGGAATGTTTGAGGGTAATACTGCAAATCCTTCTCAGCATCGCTAATGGTCTCGCTCTCTTGATGAGAAATAACGCGAAATGGTGAGGACTCTTTAGAGCTATTGCGGCTAGAGCTCACGACAATCACATCGCCCGAGGCCTGGTCGTCGTGCGTTGGACTCAGGATATGGTCAGGCGGTGGAGAGAGGACATCGTCACCTTCCAGTTGAGAGTTGTTGATAGGGGCCCTGGAAGCGGACACTACGAGCAAGGATTTCAGAGCGGTCTGGAGATGACTTGATTTGGCTGACGAGGCGGGCCTGGAGTCGTTGAGAACATGGTTGTCTGATGAAGGGGTAGAAGCCTCGTCCTTAATCTCGGAACCGGTGGAATTCATCTGAATGCTGGGAGATGTATCTTTTACGGAGCGATCGTGGTTAGAACGAAGTTTGATTTTATGTCGAAGGGAGTAAGAGTGATGAGGTAGGGCACTGAATAGTTATGAGACATGACAGTAGACAGGATGGGAATGATGATAGAATACATAGGCGCCTTAAATGTAACTGGCCCTCGACCCCAGAACATCGGATAACGAGTGAACTAAGACGGAGCCGAGCCGTTTGAATTGATGCTGGCCCTGTAGCCGACAAGCGACTAAGGGGAGGGAGTTGGAGCTGGTGATGCACAGCTTGATCCAGGTCGCAGGTGGGCGATGGATGCGGTGTAAGGGGTTATCCTAATGCGTGAGGAGCGCGCTCGCAGAAGTAACTGAACGAGGGTGTTGACGGACAGTGTATGCGCGGAGAACCGTTGGCCGCCAGATACTACTGTACGCGACGTGAAATGGGGAAGTGGAGTGTTCTGTGACGGAGGGAGGGAACAGTAACCTTGTGTTGCCGATCAGGCAAGGTTCTGTTCTGTGACCCAGGAGTACTTTCATCCCAAATGTGGAGTCCTCATTTGATGCATTTGTTCTGTCGTTATCGCCCCGGTAAGACTCCTTACCGATGCTGGATCTGACCAATTACCTTCGTTTGGACTTCTGGAAGTCTCCTTTTGTACCTTAACAACAATCAATCCACTTTGTTCAATTCCGTGGTGACACGTGCTCAACTTGGATAAATGCATTATCGACCTATCCGAGCGTTAGTATGCTTGGGATCCAGAAATGGACCTTGTTGAGGAGTCCCTACACAGTGCCAGCGTGCTCTCGTGATATGCCAAGAACTACAATGTCTATGCGGAGATAGTCGACGAAAGTGAAAGCAGAGGACGGCGATTTCGGGTCCTACTATACGACGTTAATGGAAGCGGGTGATCATTGTATTGGAAATCATTTACTGTTTTATTGAAGCATGGCACTAGGTTGATCGTAGGCGAGTTAGTCTTGATGCGGGACGGCGCGACGCGAATTGGTGGATCCCTACGTGGAAAGCTTATCGAGAGATTCTGATCTACCTACTGGATCCCGAGTTTTCCAATAGGTATAGTCGTATATGCTTGAAAAGGGCATTGTGCAGCTCATAGCTGCAGAGAAATAACAAACTAAAAGCCCAATATGCGTGTCTGATAACATCTTCTGACGATGAGTTACTCGACGGCACGACGCTGGCATGTCTAGCCAAATCCTGATAGCAATTAATGAATACACCCCGTATTAAAAACTCAGCTGGATTATACCCAGCATGTCCGTCGTCAGCACTTTGGCATCATCTAAGCTCTCAATCATGTTTTGGGAAGACAGCAACAACATAACCGAGATGCAAGTCTGGTCGGTTCTCGTCGAGGAGACCATACATGAGTCCTTATCGTTATGAACGTAGACCCTGTGAGTCGACTGGGTGTTCACTCTTTACATGGGCGCTACCGACGGCCCACGGTACTGGAAAAATCTAGGCCGTGCAAAAAATGCCGATCTCTTCCCAAGCGTCGGAGCTTATTCCGAGTATATCGAGTTCGATTCGAAACAAGGAACAAGATAAGTATTCATTCGTGAGCTGAATCTTGTCATGAAAGTGACTGCAAGTTTCCGCAGGTAAAACCGGAATGCTAGCGTCTGCTGTTAATGAGGATCCACTGGTAACATGACATGATCGAGTTGTCTCGTAATATTTCCTTCCGAGGCAGATAACGGGAGGAGCCTGGAGACTGGGCCAATGGTTCCGCGAGAAAGGTCATAAGCGATGGCAAGAGAGAACCATACTTGGAACCCGGGAGGGACAAGAATTTAGACAAGTATGAAGACACATGCTCAGAAGCACTGCACCGATAATCATGAACATATCGTAAAGATTTATTGAGCTGATGCGTAAAATTCCATGTCACCTTGGGATGCTGCAAGACCCTCCTCTCGCCATTGCACCCCGTTCAGCTGCGCCTGTTACGAGTCGCCACCCCATGTTGGCCCTGCGTTCCCCATCCAGCGGTTCCGACTTCTGCCTCTGCTTCCTGACAGCCGTGATTGTTGATGGGATGGCTGATTCTGATGCCCGGACATCCTGAGTGGAATCAGCCGAGCTCTGGCCCGCTCAGCGTATTGACCCCCACCCCTGTCCGTTGCCATCAAGCCACATCTTCTCATGCGTCGAGTTGAGTATTTGCCCGGGGTTGCAACTTCTTTTGCGATGCTTTGGCGAACTGGTGCCGTTGCAGTAGTGTCCGTTCTAGCGGCGGCTTGCAAGGCGAAGTGTTTCTCCTCGGCTCACTGAGGTGCCGATACGCGTCCTTTGCGGAAACCCTTGCTGTATGCCTTGCCCTGGCCTCAAGCCACCGTCCGTTGGATACGTCCGTCGTAAGTTTTATACCTCGTTGGGCAGATTTCCGTCCAACTTCAAGACTCGTCCATCTCGTCCTCCTTTCTTGAAGACGCCTCGCCGCTGCCGCCGCCAAGCGCAGCGGCAATATTCTCAAGGCCCTCGACCTCGCCCTTGGCCAACTTTTTGCCCTCGCCCTGCCATTCGCCATCGCGGACCTCGCCATTCTCGCCGAGCTCGAGCCCACGCACGTTCTCGAGGTGCTTCCTCGTCGCCACCTCAACGTACTCGACCCGCTCGCGCCGCCAGCCCTTCCTCCTGTCGTCGTCCCCGTTCTCGTCGCCCCGGCCGGCCAGATCGGGCATGAGATTGGTCAGAGACGTCGACAGCGCGCGCAGGGCCTGCAGCTGCGACAGCGTAAAGGCGGTCGTCGTCGAG